TTCGTGCCACAAAAAGTGGATACTTGGACGTAATTCTAACTGTAGGTCTTGGACGGGTGGTCCGTGCTGCACGTGCACACACATACATTCCTTACACTGGTATTACGCGCGATGATTTGAATGTTGTATTTGAACACCTGGCTACATTAACAAGAGAGTTACGAAAATGAAATGTCCATTTGTCTAGATCAGTTATACTATGTAATGTTTTATTAACTGTAACAGATTATTCATTTGCCTAGATTAATTTAACATTTTGTCAGCTTAACAAAATATTAATTTTAAAACATCATTCATTTGCCTATGTAATGCATTGTCATCTTTACAAGATATTCCCTTAAAATTTAATTACCATTTGCCTAGATCAATATCACTTTGTAAAGATTAGTCAGCATAACAGTATAGAATAATCAAATACGAAAATTTAATAAACCATTTACAGAATGGTTGTTTTAGTCGGATTTAGAGAATATTACCTCAAAAATTTAGTATAACTTTTTTTGTGGATTATTTGCAATGTCTCATGTATGGTCAACTTAACGAAAATTTCACTAAAATAAAATGTTCTTTGTCAATAAATTACCTTCACATTATCATGGATTTAAAGAAAAATAGTGAGCTTACCATTTCTGAAAAATTTGTATCATTCATGCTGTTTATTTTATTTTTGATATTCATTATACACAATTTAATAAAAAAAATAAACGAGTTGACTGCAATGTTTGGGATAGAAATCTATTTATTCTCTTTATGTTGTCGTCATCAGTAAAAATAACCGAAACGAAAATTCCACAAACAGCAATTGTTTAAGTAATCTAGAATAACAATACACAGGTAAACAATACACTGGTAAATAACACACAGGTAAACAATACACAGGTAAACAATACACTGGTAAATAACACACAGGTAAACAATACACAGGTAAACAATACACAGGTAAACAATACACTGGTAAATAACACACAGGTAACCAACTAACAGGTATAAAGCACATAGAAAAACAATTAACAGTTAGGTAAAATATAAGTTAACAATAATCAAAATATTGCTTGGGTAGAAATAAACAGATAAGACGTGGACTTACGTTACTTATTGTGTATGATACTTGACATTCGATAATTGTTCTGAATACCACAAAATAGTACTTTAGATTTGAATGGCGACGATCGGTCAATACTAAATACGCTCACTACACTATCTAAATCATTTGTTAATCACAGCTGTCCGGAATACACAACAAACGACAAGTTCATGCTTACTGCTTAATTCTATTGTCTATATATCCGTTAACATGTATGTAAGACCACAAACAAAGACAAACCACTGGTGTCCTTACTCGACATCGAGTGTCCCATATATAAAATTACTCAGGCAAAACGAATTCTAGATGATGCATGTGACGGTAGCAGTGACAGCTAACATGTCTGCTAACTCAGTGAGATATCAGCGCTCAAATTAGCGTTTTCAGAGTGACTTAAGACGGCGGAATAACTTAATTACTAGATTGAGGATTCACAGGTGTGTGACTATCACCTGGCAGGCAGAAGAGGCGGATTACCAGCGGCGAGTGAACATCAGCCAAACATGGCTGTAAACACTATATTATTGGGATTTCTGTTTCTCAGTCTGGTGGATCTTGCTTCTTCTCAGGTAAGTCTTGTTTGAATATTTAAAAAAGAATGTATGTGTTAAATTATCTGTATTTATTTAAATATTCACACCTTAAGGTCTTTTAGAAATTTAAATTCTTATACAAATTAGCGTTGATAATGGTCTTTACGGAATGAATATATGATGATGTTCACAATTTTTAATTCGTAATAATAAATAATTGGGACGCTGTTTTATTCATGAGAAATACACTGATATTTACCATCAGTAGAACGAACTTTTATATATCTTGTTGCATTCTTAACAAAGTTAAGAAGAAACATATTGTGCCCGTGACACCTCCCTCCGGGGCTTGGTACCTCCGAATCAAAAATGTTAACACCGATGGCGACTACCGTTGTCTTCGAGAAAATCCTCATAACATGTACATTTGATAGAATAAAACATATTCCAGTAAACTTTTAAATAATGAATTAAAGATTAACTGATATATACTGTTAGTGATGCATTTAAAACTGTCGAAGAAGATCTTAAGCAAAGGATACTTGCTAAACATGTGGATACAAACTAGATAAGAAAAACGATATTTGTTCAAGTTAAACGTTAAAAAATCAACTCATATTTAGTGAACGACATTTCTAATACATGTTTGAATATGAATACAAGTTTTAATGAACAATATTTGTTCTTTTAACTCTGTAAAACGTGAATACGTTTAGGAGATCGAGGCTTACTTTTTTCGTTATCACGTTCGTGTGAAGAGTGGATACACACTTTCAGGAAGTGCTTAGATGTCATGTCAGATGTTAACACTGTGAGTTCATATTTAGCTTGCCCACAATGGTATGGTTTGTTCGGCAACAAGACGTTAATATTAATGCTTCATTTTGTTATATACATTCTTCTTAAACCTCAATGATGTATTCCGATATTACCTTCCCCGGAAAGGAGCGGAACTTGATGAAACAAAGTCATTATCTTGTGCATACGTAAATGACAATGAAATATCACATGGAAGCTTTTTGTACAAAACTGATGTATATAAGTACGTCGTAAAAATGTCTGCCGTACTAGCTCTCCGCATAGTGGTATACGTATAGAGAGCTGGTATGACAGGCCATAATGCTTCTATATCGGTCACACCAGGTTCTATGATATTCTCATAGACAGCCGTTATACACTTGTACTATTTTGTGGCTGCTATGTGTCAGTCAGGAATGTTGTGAGTGTTTTTTAATAACGAAAGGACAAGTATTTATGTTTCACATATAATTCCCATAAATTTAGTGCTTGTATGGGCCAAAACATTATTTCCACATTAATATACATATGCTTGATGAATATTTTTAAAGAAATGTCTGAATATTTATAGAAATATTCTTGATATAATGCATAATTTTAATTACAATGGTACTTTTAACTTTATAACCTCCGTATGTAGTATCTATTCCTCACCAAAATCTTTCATATATGATTTGATATATTTTTTTTATAGATATTTCAAGTGTATATTTAGATAAGAAAATTACATATTCTAATGTAGAATCTTTTCCTCTCTGAAAAATGGACACGCTAATGCACCAGAACTCCAGATGTTGGTTTAGTTGTTCATGATATGATAAGCCTAATCAGTGGTTAGTGCCAAAAACAAACAAATACTAACAAACTCAACCAGTAACTGTGTAAATAAAAGATTTTAAACAGGATGCAAATTACGGTGATATTTTACAACCACAATGGTATTTTAGTTAAACACTTTAGTATTTGTACATAGAATCCGTAGTGCATGCACATCCGAACTTATCCTGCTACCTGTGTGTCAGTGGACATATCCCAGTTACATGTATCTTGCTTGAGGAAGCTGGCTGTACCAACCTTTATACGTTTTAATATGATTATATTGTCCATTTACCTCCTGGTAAGATAAATAATTAATTGTGATTTTCGTGGTAAAATTGTGATAATATTTTCTCTCTCAGCTCCCCTGCAGATTGAACAGGAAATCTGCTGCATTAAATGCAAATGTAATGTTAATAGAAAACTCCACCTTGAATGTTTATGCAGTGAAGATATCAGTTTTTCACAAAGTGGTAATTTTATGATATTCTGCTGGTAAAAATGAATTAAAATAAAATCCGTTACTGCATTATTCAATAGATTATAAAATATTTCAGAGAAACAACTATTATTCATACTAATTAAGGCACACACAATGTAAATGTACAGGTGAAATACCTCCGTTTTGACAGAATAGTACACATTTGAAGATGATTTACAGATTATGATAATATAAATTGAGATATAACATGCATTAAAGTGATATATACCACAAACATAAGATAAAAGTTTGTTATATGAAGTAAATTAATATATTATCTAATGAAATAACATTTTATAGTACATGTACACCCTGTATTTCATTTCTGTCGTCTCAATTAAGGAACCGCAGTTTGGCTCTCGTAAAACTTGTCAAGCTTTCATGAGACATATGTCATAAAGTTGTCAATATATTTCGAATTAACCGGAAGCCAGGCCACCAGCCTGACGGTATACTAGAAAATTCTCTCCGGTAATGGATAATGGGGCGTAGGTTGGAGTGTTGGATGGTGGTTCTGAAAATGTCGACTTCAATCGAACTCATATGACGTATTTCATATTCGGACCAAATAATGCGGAAAGAAATATTTTAGGCGCAAATAAGTGTGTGTTTTACTTTCATCTATGCAGATAGAAGATGTGAAGCTCTGCTGGTGGAATGTTTAATCCCCGAGGTTTGCTTAATTGCCTTGATTCTTTTGAGAAATGACAAGGTTCATAATATTCACATGTTACTCGTTATTAATTTGAAATCACGCAAAACTCCTCAATTGTTTTAAATTCATATGGTTAAAGCATTTTTTCGTCCATCCTCTCACAAACTACCCTCTATTTCAACAGTAGACCCTCGCTTCCAACATAAGTTTTAAATCTAATTTGGATTTCAATCGTTTTTGCCTATTTCTTCACTAGAACCACCAATGATTCTTTAGACGAATCAGCTGTTTGGTGTACTGAGTAACTAATTGTTGACATCTGGTATATATTACTAAATTGCTTATATACAATCACATGTGTATGTCTGTCTTTCTGTTCATCTTTCATCACAATACCGGTGTTTTTGCTCACGTGAATGAATGGTAATAACTCACACTTGTCACGTTAAAAACGTCCTCGTCATGTGACAAGATGTTTGTCTGGAGCTCGTGCAGTGTAGCCACCTGTATAGTTTGTTAGGGATGGGGGTAAGCTATGATATTGCAACTGCTTGTCATCATCATCATCATCATCATCATCATCATCATCATCATTATTATGCACCATTACATCAACGACATATCATGATCATAATCATCATCGTCATCTACAAGTGACAGTTTTCATCGTTTGCCGAATTGTCTGCATAACACTGAAAAAATGAAATGGAAATATTTTTTTTTACCTATTAATAAATTGTTTTTTGAAAATGAACTGATACGTACCTTGCGAAACTTTTATTGAAAAAAATGAAATAAATACAAATATATGATCAGCAAGTAAGAAATGACAGACTTGGGTTCGAACAATTGCTTCAATGCATTTGAGATAAGAATAACTTTCACACCAGAGAAAAAATACTTTACTTACATGAAATGGTCTCATGGCCTCTGAAATATACGAAAGCTAATTCGTGCCATTTATTAAGAAGTAAAAAAAAACTTTATTAAGTCGTACGAATGAGAGAAAATGTCGTATAAACGACTTTAAATGTCGTACTTACGAGATTCGAGACTTTTTTTTAACTCGTTGGTTCTATTTCTATCCCATTCGTACTAAGTGTTTTTTTTCGTATATACGAAATATTTTCTTTCATTCCAAATGGCACGAATGAGCTTTTGTAAAAAGAATATGACAAAATTGAATTAAAACAACAATATTTTTACCGAAGAGATAACATGAACTTTATGATCGATCAATGTCTCTTTGTTTGTGAGATGGGGTAGTCAACAAAGAAATAAAAATATACTTACGTGACAGATGACGTCATTGAAAAACTGAGTCATGTAATCCGCCCTGTTAAGACCATGTGAAGGTATTCTTCATCAACATAAAAAGATAATTAAGATGTTAACCTTAAACTGTGGAATACATTAATTATATGACTTGAACTTTAATGTTACTGTATAAAATGAAATTTTCGTTGTATACAAACAGTCGTGGTTTTGTGGTTGCTATTGAACCACGAAAATAAATACAACGAATTTGAATGATATTCGTGTCTACTGTTTGTTAATATAGGATATCCACGAAAGTTTGTACCACGAAACAATCTAAAAGACTTTTAAACCAAGAAGGAAAGTACCCACGAACATTTCGTGTTATACAGTTAACAGTTCAGATACCGCAAGGTTCATTTGAATGCATTTAAAGCATTTCCTCTTACACTGCATTAGCTGTCGTATATTTAAAATAGTATGTAACCAATTTGGTTATTACTGCAAGATATGTTGGGGTAGATTTTAACATCACATTCGATATGTGGCAATCAAATGTAGTTTATGTTATTACATTTATAGATAAATTTAACATATATGAAAGATTAGTACTACCATGTCTCAATTCGCAAATAAGTCATAAATTATTGGTACGTGTTATATTAAGATGTCTTTATGACTTTCATAAGAATACATACACTATAACATTTTGCCTATCAATATGAAATGATGACCCAAAAATAGAATGGTTTTAATTAAAACTGACAAGCCCTTGTTTACGTTGCGGTCATTATTCAGTGAACTGAATTTAAGAGGTTTAACATATTCACATGTTTTGTATGTTCATTGTGTCGTGAAGATATTTTTTCAGATTTTTAGACTTGCCTTATGTCCCAGATTCATTGATTGAAAACATCTTAATGACAGTAACTGTACAGAATAGAAACGACTAATAAATATAAAATATGAAACAACGTAGCTGTTAGAAATATACGGATGTGTGTTTCTATATTGTACTCTGTTTGAAAC